AGTATATGAATATAGTACAATATTTTTGTGTCATAAGAAGTGACAAAATGGGCAGTTTCAGAGGAAACTAGGAGGACATCTATGAATGGATGCAGAGTGAAGTGAGCAGATCAATTTATACAATGACAACATTATAAAAAAAATAGCTCTGAAAGACTTTAGAACTGATCAATGCAATGATAAACCAGAAGTTTATCCATTCCAAGAGGAATGAAGATAAAACACTCTACCTATCTCCTGCTTGAGAAGCAATGGACTTAAAGAAAAGAATAAGACACAGACTTTTAGACATGGCCAGTATGGATACTTGTTTTGCTAGACTATCCATATTTGTTATGAAGGTTTTTCTTTTTCTTCTTTTGAAAACTGTATAATTGGGCAGGGGCAGTGGAAAGAAACAATAAATTATTATATAAATTAATTAGAATGAAAAAGAACATAAATTATCAACTAACTTATTCATTGATTAAAAATTAACAGTGTTTCCTACCGGAAATCCGAAGCACACAAATACAGATTTAGAAATAAAAGGAACTTGAGAGGCCATCAAGTCTAAACCTCATTTCACAAAGGAAACTGAAGCTTAGAAAAGTGATTTACTCAGGCAGCCAGGTGACGCAGTAGACAGGGCAACAGGCCTGGAATCAGGAGGACCTGAGTTCAAATCCAGTCTCAGATACTTATTAGCTGTGTGATCCTGGGCAAGTCATTTAACCCTGATTATCTCAAAAAATAAAAAGAAAGAAAGAAGAAAATGATTTACCCAAAGTCACAGAGGCAGTTAGTGGCAGAGCCACAATTCTAACCAAGGTCCTCTGACTTCAAATCCAGCATATTTTTGGGAAAAGGTAGCACAGCACCAGTCATTGGGTGGAGTTCATCTAGCTATTAGATGATAATTTCAAGCTCCCACAGAAACAGAAGGGATGTTTGGGGAGGGGGGAAGAGATGAAGAAATTGTTTTTTAAATGACTGGCCTATTTTATATGTGACTTAAATGACAAAACATTCCTCAACCATATTTTTGTACAAACCTCCTCTGAGAATGTCACCCACTGATGCCCACACAAGTAGGCCAATTACCAATCAGCAACCACCATAAAGAAGACTCCTGCTCACATTTTTTCTTCCAAAACCAACATCATTTTTAGAAACCTTTTACCCTTAAGGCAAAAAACACTTGACAACTCAGGCTCATAAATCCCTTCAGGCAATTTCCTTATCACACATGTCAGTGGCATGGCCTAGTGATGTACAAAGTCCCAGACTCGTGATTCTCCTAGTCTGCACTTAGAGACTTGTGCAGCCCCTGCTATCTTCACCCCACAAGACAGTCACAGCTGAGACATAAATTACTCAGAAAAGAGTACTATAGCAGTAAGAAAACAGATAAGACTAAAGTAAATCAGTATGACAATGATAACCTTTCCAGGAGCCCCCAACAACACATACGAGTTCTTAGAATCCTAGATTCAAGGTCAGCAGGGGCTTCAGACAGGGTTCATCATGGTCAGCTCCATTTAGAGGGCTTAATTTCTACTAAATCCAAACTTGTATTTTCTCAACTGTGGCTTAGAAAGAAAGCTTGTCAATGGATACTGCTGGTGCTTACGCTCTGGTATCTTAAGATAAGTAAACAGCACAAAGAAGAAATATGACAAAGAACTATAGAACTTCAGCACTGAAAATGGGAGCAGTTAGATGGTATAATGGAATAGAGTACTGGGCCTGGAGTAAGAAAGACTCATCTTGGTGAATTCAAATCTGGCCTCAGACACTTACTAGCTGTGTGACCCAGGGCAAGTCACTTCACCTTGTGTGCCTCAGTTTCCTCATCTGTAAAACGAGCTAGAGAAGGAAATGGCAAAACACTCCAGTGCCTTTACCAAGAAAACCCCAAATGGGGTCAAAGAAGAGTCAGACAAGACTTAACAATGATAACAAAGTACTGAAAAGAAAGAAACAAGTTATTTATTAAGTGCCTTCTACATGCTAGGCACTGTGCTAAGTATTTTAAAAAGATTATCGTATTTGATACTCATAACAACCCTAGGAAGTAGGTACTATTATTATATTCATTTTACAGTTGAGGAAACTGAGGCAGATAGAAATCTAAGTCTCATACAGCTAATATGTGAGGCTGGACATGAAATCAGGTCTCAGCACTCAGTCCACTATCTTCCTAAGAAAGGGATCTTAAGAGATCACAAGATCACCTACATAAAGTTGGAAGGGACCTCAGAATTTTTCTAATCCAGCCCCCTTATTTTACAGAGAAGAAAACTGAGGCTTAAAGAGGTTAGGTGATTTGCCCAAGGTTACACAACAAAAGTCAGAAGTAAGATTTGAACCCAGGTCTCTCCTGACCCCAAGACCAACATGCGTCCTTAGACTCACTACTTCCAATCAAGGAAATCTGATACACGAAAAAGAGGAATGGAGGCACAGGGCTCCTCACTCTAATCCTCACCCACTCCCATTCTATCCTACCTTCAAAATGCAGGTCTAAACTAAGCTGGATTTCAAGGTAGAGGAAGGGTGGCTCCAGCATCACCCTGGAATTTCAAAACATCTCAGAAACACACCTGGAGTGATTGCTCCAGAACTCTTGGGTGAATTCAACCTGAAATACCTAGCTGACCCCTAAACCACTCTATAGAAGCCCAAAGGTACTGGAACTTGGAACAAAGACCTGTCAAATCTACTCCTGAACTCAGAAACACATCTCCAGAATAGGTCTTCTATATAGAGATGATCTAGATATGCTTAATTCATTTTCATCCCAAATTTATTTAAACTCTATTCACTGGAATAATATTGCCTTTCTAAAACTAGAAGAGACAGGTGCACGCAAACAGTATTATTTCCTTTTGGAATAGCTGGGCCCCACTTTGCACTTTTCCAATACTACCTGCCTTACCAATAAGCTAGAGATCATTGAATTTTCAAACCAAAAGGGACTCTGGAGTTTACCTAGAACTGTACTGAGCACAGTACAAAGAGTCCTGGTTTAGCATCAGAACATCTGCATGTGCATTCTACCTCTGCCACTTACCCGTGTGGCCTTGAACAAAAAATCTCCCCTCTCATGACCTCAGTTTCCTCATCTGTAAATGAGGGGGCCAGACTAGAGGCCCCTTGCAGCTCCATATCATGCAATACTAAACTACGTGATCTTGATAATGATGATTCACTCATTATCTATACCTCACTAGATGGTGGTACGGAAAGCCTTAAAGTCTTAGTCTAAGAAAAGTTCTAATTATTATTATAGGTCAGCCTCTTCATTTGCATTTCATAAAAAGGAAACTAAGATGATCTTAAAACCACTACCAATCCTAAAACCTAAATTAATCTATTTAACTTTTTAAAAAATTGAGTTGCCACAAGTTTCCAAATTCATCCTCTACTAGATGTCTCCAGTTTCTACAAAAGCAATATATATCAATTTACAGGTTATTAAGCACTTTATATAAATTATCTCATTTGATTCTTACAACAACCCTGAGAGGTACGAACTGTTATTTACCCCCATTTCTCTGATTAAAAAAAACTGAAGCTCAGAGAGGTCAAGGTCACTCAGCAGCATATGGTATTTCAATCAAACACCTCCTATACAGGTGCCTGCTGCAGGGACTGTACTAAAGGCAAGGGATACAAAACGAGGCAAAAGATAGTCTCTACCCTCAAGGCGCTTACAATCCAGAGGAGGAGACAACACTTGGGATTTTAACTCGGGTCTAACTCCAAGTCTGGCTGTGCTCTCTAGTAAAGTTATTAAGTACAACTCAAATGGCACTTTTTCTATAAAAAAAAAAAGGTTTTGTTCTGGCAAACCTAAAAAAGGTAAAAGTATACAGGAAGTGATTAACACCTATCAAGTCAAGTCTCAATCAGGACGGCAGTGTTACTATCTCAGGTCCATTGGTATTGAGGGATGAGGAGGAAGAGGTAATGGAAGAGAGCCAGAGACAAGCTTATCTATTTTTAAACTCTCACCCACACTTTCAAGAGGAACACTCTGTCTGATTCGAGTCCTCCCACCCGCATCACCTTCTGCTAGTCAGCCGTCGGAACCTGAACACTGGAGCCTCCATTTCTGTTACTTGCCTGTCAACAAATACTGTGAAAGTCAAAACTAATCTCTCTCTCTCTCTCTCTCTCTCTCTCTCTCACTCACACACACACACACACACACACACACACACACACACACGCACGCACAACTAGTGGTAAGAAGCAGCCAGAAAAAAAGATCACCTCTAAAACAAGGGAAATAAAACAGAGACTGTAGTTTGCTAAAGGACCAAAGGGAACCCACTAGCCTTGCTTTGGAGCAGTGATGCAACGCGGCCAAGGGGGCACGCTCGAAAAGTTCTGGCTAGATGCTGCTGGCTAACCGAGGGTTAAGGGTGAGCAGAGAAGAGGATCAGCGTACTTTCCAACTGCATACCAAACGGGTACCCAGAGGTATCGCTTTCCAACTCCCCCGAAGGGCTGCATTGTACCCAAGGCTTCTGCATTCCTTATCTAGCTCCGCAGATCTTCCTCTAACACCTGTGCACCACACACAGCCACCCACAGTGGCAATATTTACCGCTCGGCGCTAGTGTTTCTAAACTGCAGCAGAACTGTTGGTAAACATCACGACAACCCGGAATGCAAGCCTCCGTTCCACCGATGGGTCCTCCCCTTACCTCATCTAATTGTTGCCAGCTCGCTCCATTTTTTCCCTGCTTCCTGCCTCATTACAATAACCTTTCCGCATAGTGGTCTGTCAATCAGTGCCCGCAAGAGGGGAATAAAAAACCCGGAGCTATTCAAGGCGTTAAAGTCTCCAAGAAGATGCCCCTACGGCATCATATCTCCACAGCACTGAGCTGTGGATTCCGACCCCAGGAAGCCCCCCGCCCTCGCCCCACTGGAGCTCGCACCCCTCCCCAGCCCCTAGCGTTCCCCCCAGCCCGGCTGGGGCCAGACGCACGCCTCCCAGCACTTACTCTTGAGCGCCGAGATGAGGGCTTTCCCATCCTTGATGAGCTCTTTAATGAACTTGTTGGTCTTATCCAGCTCAGCTTCATGAGACTTGAGCGTGTCTCGGAACTGCGGGCTGTCCAGGCAGCAGTCACTGAACTCCAGGGCTGGGAGTCCCATAATCTCCCCCAAGCCTGGGGGAGGAAACCTCTCCCCAAGGACAGACTAGCCCAGAGATTTCCCTCCTTCTCCTCCTCCTCCGTGCCCCGAACCCTTGCACTGGCTCCCAGCACCTCTACCCCCCCCAAAAAATGCAAAATGTTCTCGTTTCGTTAGCAAGCCCAGCGTAGCCGGGTCCCCGTGGGGGTGCGCCCTGCGCCACCTCCTCCACAGGTGGGGCTCCGGCTCTTTACAGGGGGTGGGCAGGACCCCGGGAGCCGGCGGGGAGCGAAGAGCAGATTGTGGGGTGCCTCGCGATCCGCATCGGCCGCAGGTTCAGAAGACCGGGAGCAAGAGCAGCCGGGAGCAGAAAGAGCAGGCGAGCGGTGGGGCACTCCTCATGGCGAGCGGTGCACACTGCAAAGCCACAGGCAGCCCCGGAGCAGCTCAGCACAGGTCGGCTGCCTTCCCTTCCCCATTCAATGCGCCGCTGCCTGGAGCGCCCTCTCCCAGCTACCGCCGCTGCTGCTGCCGCCGCCGCCGCCGCCGCGGTCTGGGCCTTCCGAACCTGCTAGCCATGATCTCATCCCGCCAGGGCCAATCAGGGGACTCGCGCCCGCCCGGCCCATGGGCGCGCAGGGAGGGCGCAGAGGAGGGGGTTCCCTGCCCAGCGCCGGGAAGCCCTTCCGCGCGTGGGGCCCAATCAGCGACCGGCTCGCCGGGAGTGGCCGGAGCCCGGGGAGGAGAAAGGAGAGAGGAGGGGTCCTGGAGAAGTGGAAGGAGCTAGGAGGAAGAGGAGGGAGGGGCGTGGTCGGAGCCAGAGTCCTTTTTTGCCCACGCACCGAGCTATATGTCTGCCTTTGCTTCCTCCTAGTGCAAAAGTAGCCGGGGTGCTGCAGCGGAGCCCTGTGGGGGGTACTACAATGTTGGAATGTCGTTCTAGAGCCTCGGGCTCCAGCCCGACCCCCGGGAAGGTGCTGTACCCCACCCCCAACCTGCGCGGGAGAATTTAGTTGGCCTCCCACGCGCTTTGCAAAGACTCGAGATAAAGACGCCTGCCTTTTTTGCAGATTTATTACCAGGGCCCGAAGGCTCCTCTTTCTCACTGCATCAGCTTCCAAAGGGTGACTTTAACCTTCCTTCCTTTCCTGGTCAGGGAGAATAGGAGTTAGGAGCTCAGGGATGGGCACCTGGATGGCCTCAGTGTGAACGTGAGGCCGCTGAGACCTCCCACTCATTGCCTTGGTTAAAGTTAAGGCTCTGGCTGTGCCCTTGGCCTTTGACCTGAGGCTCTCATTGCCAGATTTGGTGTCTTGCATCAGAAGAGCCTGGGGGAGACAGGGAAACATCCCACGTAGAATCAGAGAGCGCTGATGCTGTGACAATCAAACGTTAGTTACGGAGGAGCAAACCGAGGCCCAGAGAGGTTATTCTCCATAGTGATTAGATGGCAGAGTCAGGACTCACCAAGTCCAGTGCTCTGTTAGGTATTGTTTTAACCCTAATGAGGCCAGGCAGCATAATATAAAATACTGAGAATCCTAAAATTGTAAAAGATTGTTTCAACTTCTTACAGGCAAATGTTGGGAAATGTTAACATCCAGCCCACCCCCGCCCCTAGCAAACATTTTTAAATCTCCAAAATACTCTTTAGGAAACAGGATATAAGGTCGTTAAGGGCAAGAAGTGTTTATCATTCATTCTTTTTGTATCCCCAGAACCGGGCTCGTAATAAATACTTGTGTATGTTGAATTGACCATCAAGGTATCTGGGGGGAACACTAGACCAGCAGTGAGGACAGTAATTACCAGTCCTGATTCTGCCCAGACTAGCTGTGTGAAAGTTGAACAAATAGCTTCCCTCTCCTCCGGCCCTCAGTGCCCACATCTATAAATGAGTTAGAGAAGTTGACCATCCATCAGGGAATGGCCAATCAAGTTATGATATAAAAATGTAATGAAATACAATTATGCCATAAGAAATTAAAAATAATAGCTAACATTCACATAGTGCCTACTATCAGCAGGCACCATGCTAACCACTTTACAGACATTATCCCATCTGATCCTCCCAACAACCCCAGGGAGGTAGGTGCTATTATCCGCATTTTACAGATAAGGAAAATGAGGCAAACTGAGATTAAGTGACTTGCCCAGCCCTGGGGTCACATAGCTGTTAAGTATCTGAAGCTGATTTGAACTGAGGTCTTCCTGACTTCAGGGCCAGCACTTTATTCAGTGTGCCAGTTAGCTGACCTATAAGTCTTTGTATCAGTACAAATTTGTTTGATAGCAGCAGTACAGTGAGTACAGAATGTTTCATTGCACCCCCTTCAATAACTATTTCCACTTTTGTTCAATAGTGAAAATTTTTGCCAGGCCCATAGTCATTCACTTTTCTGTGACCTTAAGGGAAATTAGGTAGATAATTATACCTACATATGTATATAAACAGTTAATATTGGAAGTTTATTTAACAGTTACCACAAAAGATTTACTTCTTTCTGCGTGTAGAAGTGGAGTGGGGAAAGGAGGGGAATTTGGAAGCTTGATACAAACACTAACAATGACCATGAATCAACCTTGAAAAAAGACAGGAAATTCAAATGTTCTGTTGATTTCATCTTTGGGTGGGTTTCTTTTGTTTGATTTGTAAGGGGTGGTGACCTTGCCTCTCAGGCTTGTTCAGTCTTCAGAGTTACTTAACCTGGAGGAAATTGTCTTTGTCTACACTGTTTTCTTTAACTTGCCTGTCTGAAGAGAATCATTTTTACTAGTTCCATACTGGTGGTCAGACCAATAGATTTCTTGGACGTTTAAGGAAATTATTATGTGTAATTGTTACCCAAATATCCCCTAACCTACAAGGTTGAGAATAGACCAGGGCCCAGTTCTCTGCTTGTTATGTGTTTACTTTGCCATTCATTAAGGATAAATATGTCCTTGCTGATTTTTTTTGCTTCAGGATTTTAAACTTAGGTCATGACATGTCAGTTAGTTGTAATCCTAGGTGGAAGTAAGGGAACAGAGCAAATGAGAGCATAAATGTATAACTGGAGGGGACTTCAGAGGCCATCTAATCCAATCCTCCTACTTTGCAGATCAGGAAACTGAGGCCGAGAGGTTAAGAAATGACTATTAAAGATTGTACAAGCCTGGCTGTTTCACTGTTCTTTTGAGCTTAGAAATGTTAATTTTGTTAATAGTTATTCTTTCCACCAAAGAATTAAATAGCACTCCAGAAACATCTCCTCAATTTTTAAAATACTATATGCCTATGAGGGTAACAGGAAGGGATTTATTGTTGTTGTTTCATCGTGTCCAACTCTTCATGAGAGGGTTATCTTAGCAAAGATCCTGGAGCAGTTTGCCATTTCCTTCTCCAGCCCATTTTACAGATGAGGAAAATGAGGAAAACTGGGTTAAGTGACTTGCCTAGGGTCATACAGATAGTAAGAATCTGAGGTTACATTTGAACTCAGGTCTGTCCAGACTCCAAGCTGGGTACTCTATTGCACCACCTACCTGCCCCCAGGAAGGTGTTCAGAAGACTCCAAACAAGAGTTTCTTGACAAGTCCTGGGCTTGGTGGGCAGAAGCTATGCAAGGACTAAGGACATATTGCAGATGTGATACCTTGATGTGACAACAAAATTTAGTATATGCAAAGTGAAGCAGAGGATTTAGGCAATGATCCAAATCATTTTAGCTGGAGGCATCTAAGTGGTGCAGTGGACAGAGCACTGGGCCTAGAGTCAGGAAGACATGAGTTCAAATTTGACCTCAGATACTCAGCGGCTGTATGACCCTAGGCAAGTCAATTAACCTCAGTTTCCTCAACTGTAAAATAGAGATAATACTGTGAAGGTCAAATGAGATATTTGTTAAGCGTTTAAAACAGTGCCTGGCCCATAGTAAGCTGTATATAAATGTTAGGTACTATTTTATTATTAAATTATCATTTATTCACAATAATTTGTTATTAAATTGATATTTATTGATAATAATAAATTCATTATTATTAAAATTATAACAAGTTCTAAAGAAATATTTAGAAGAAACACATAGTAAACTTGATAAATTGTGATACATTCTTAATGATGAATGTACCTCATGTAAAGTCTTTTTTCTTTTCTGTTTTTTCAAATGACAAATATTTTCTCTCTCACCAACCCATTAAAAAAGAAAAACGAGAAGCAAAACTCTTGTTGCAAACATCCATCATCTTGCAAAACAAATTTCCACATTGACCATGTCCAAAAAAAGTGTAACCCATTCTGCAGCTTGAATCCATCACCTCTTAGTCAGTAGGTGGGCAGTACAGTTCATCAGACCTTTGGAATCATTGTTGGTAATTGCATGAATCAAAGTTTTTGTCTTTCAAAGTTATCTGTATAATGTTGTTATTATTACATAAAATATTCACCTGGTTATGATCAAGTCAGCCTGCATACAAGCCTTTCCAAGTTTCTCTGAAACTATCCCTTTCATCGTTTCTTGTGGTGCAGTCTTATTCCATTACATTCATACACCATAATTTGCTTGGCCATTCCCCAACTGATGGTCATTCCCTTGGTTTCCAGTTCTTCATCACTCCAAAAATAGCTGCTATAATTTTTTTTCCACGTGTGGGTTCTTTTCCTTTTTCTTGAATCTCTTTGGAGGTATCCAATGATCTTTTACATTACATCAAACCAGCAATCGACTGTGTCAAATGATTTTTTGCAAAAATAAAACTGAATGCTCTAAAATTCTAATAGCTAAGCTTGACTCCAAAGAAGAAATATTAGAAAACAACCTCCTTCACTTCTTTGCAGAAGTAGGTAGGGAAGGAACTGCCTATAATATCATATTTGGAGGATATGTTGGTTAGATTTGCTTAACTCTTTTTCTTTAAAAAATTGTTTTTGTTATAAGGAATATTTCTGTTAGGGGAAAATGAAGGTGATATAAAAAAGATAGCAATCAAAACTATTTTTGCTTTGATTCTTTTACTTTGCATGTATCATTCATTAATTTGTGGTTAGATTATGACAGGGCCTTTTTCTCATCAGTAAAATTGTGAGAGGGCAGCTAGGTGACTCAGTGTATAAAGTGCTGGGCCTGGAGTCAGGAAGACTCATCTTCCAGAGTTCAAATCCAGTTTCAGAAGTTTATTAGTTGTGTGATCCTGGGCAAGTCACTTAACCCTCTTAGATTCAGTTTCCTCATCTGGAATGAGCTGGAGAAGGAAATGGCAAACCATTGTGCTATCTTTACCAAGAAAACCCCAAATAGAGTTATAGAGTCAGACATGACTAAAAATGTCTGAACAACAAAATTGTGAGATTGGACCAACTCAAGGGTACTTAACCTAGGGTCCATAAATGCTGGGGAGAAATTACCTCTTTATTTTCTCTGACTGAAATTTAGCATTTCATTTGATGATGAATTTTTTTAAAAAATTATTCCAAGAAGCACTCCAGAGGCTTCACC